TATACCATAAACAGACTGTGATAAATATTTTCTAGAAATTCAAATCCTGCTGCTCTCCCAACCTCTATAGATTTTCCAGCCAACAACAGCTGCTCTTTTGATTACAGCTCTAGCCTGTGTGACTGATTTCTTATTCTGGCTGAATCATCACAAAAGCAAGCCGATTGGGTAGAGAGAGGAAAAAGCTGAACACCATAGCAACTGGCTCACAGCCTTGCTAACACGCAGAAAGGATTTTTGACTTGAACAAGAACTACAAGTGGAAACACCAGCCAAGAGCAGATCTGGCATAATATCAGCAATGCAACAGAACTGCAAAAGTTGCTTAACTCCTCCCCAATCTCTTCTTAATACTTTTTGGGCTGCAGCAAATCTTCAGGGTCTTACTACAATACAGTACAGGGAACAAGGAAAATGTGTGCTATGGTATTGATTCTGTATATATATCTATACAATGCTGACTCTTTGCCATAAAAATAATCAAGTCATGGAAGCAATAACAGAGCTTGAACTTCAGTTTAACTAATAATCGTATCACCCATAATTAAAAGGATTAAAAGTTCCTAAAGACACCTCTCTAAATACACCTAACTCGACATTGTCCAAGCTAGTGACTGCTTTTAGGAACACATCAAAGTAGTCAAGTTATTAATAAGAAAGACAATCACTTAAGGACAATACCCTCTAAGAATTGCATCATGTCTATAAGGAATGCATTTGAAGCAGCGTATTGCTCTGGAATAACAGTGAGAGTCTGTGTTGGATGCACAATGCAAGGTTTGGGCTGGATGAGGAGCTGCAGTGGTGGCCTCTGAGAAAAGACCACAAGCTGCCCATGTGTTAGGCAGAGGCAGCTCCAGCTGGCTCCAAGACCGATCCACCACTGGCCAAACCTGAGCCCATGAGTGACATTAGTGGTACCTCTGTGATAACATATATGAGTGAAAAAGCTGTGCAACAGCTTCTGGGAGACAGGAGTGAGAATATGTGAGAAATGGCCCTGCAGACACCAAGGTCAGTGCAGAAGGAGGGGAGGAGTTGCTCCAGGCACCAGAGCAGAGATTCCCCTACAGCCCTTAATGCAGCCTATGGTGAGGCAGACTGTGCCCCTGCAGCCCATGGAGGTCCATGGTAGAGCGGATATCCACCTGCAGCCCATGCAGGACCCCACACCAGAGCAGGTGGAGATGCCCCAAGGGAACCTGCAGCCCATGAAGAGCACATGCTAATCTACTCTATTTTTAATTAGCAACCAGTAAATCTTTCTTGAGTCTCTTTTACCTGATTCTTTCATCTTATTTTCCTCCCTGTTCTGCTGAGGAGGGGGAGTGAGAGAGCAGCTTGCTGGGCACCTGGCAGCCAGCTAAGATCACGCCACCACTGAGTTCTTTCATCTGAGAAAAGCATAAATCTCTCCCAGGCAACTGAAGCTATGAAATCTTTGCTTTGAAGTACAGTGACCTGTCTGTTTTAGGTCATAGAATCATAGAATAGTTAGGGTTGGAAAGGACCTTAAGATCATCAAGTTCCAACCCCCTGCCATGGGCAGGGACACCTCGCTCAAACCATATCACCCAAGGCCTCGTCCAACCTGGCCTTGAACACTGCCAGGGATGGAGCATTCACAACTTCCCTGGGCAACCCATTCCAGTGCCTCACCACCCTAACAGGAAAGACTTTCCTCCTTATATCCAATCTAAACTTCCCCTGTTTAAGTTTTAACCCGTTACCCCTTGTCCTATCACTACAGTCCCTAATGAAGAGTCCCTCCCCAGCATCCCTATATGCCCCCTTCAGATACTAATAGGTCTTCAGTGAAGAATTACAGGCCCGTCTCTTCTCTCCCACATTTGGGGTGGCTTGTACTCTGGAGACTCTATTCAATAGCGTAATAAGGATCTTCACTGATTTTGGCTTTATAGGCTGGGAGAAAAGTTCTTTTTGTGCATTTAAGGGCATTCAATCCTGCTGTGAAGTAACATCAAGTCAGGAAGACCAGATACAATGCCTGCAGCACAGATACCTAAACTGCTCTAATATTAGGCTTATTTTCTAAACAGCAGACGTCTGAGTTAAGTACATAACCCCACAGTATCAAATTGATCTACTTGGTCTCTATAAGCATCATTCCTGGGCTTTTACTGGCACCTCACACCTATGAAAAACTCACACCTATGAAAAAACAAATACTTCTCTGCAATTAAAATGAGGGGAAGAGCCTTGCTTTGGGTTCCTGAAAAAAGTGGCCTGATTTTTCTGTTAATAAAACAGTGAAATATGGAGCAATGGTTTAGTTAAATTTTTATTATTTTTTTTCTTTTATATCTGATAAGAAATAGCCACAAAACTTTGATGGTCTTTTGACCCTCTAACTCCCCAGTTTCACAGAGAGTTTATGGTCCCAGGAAACTTTTCCATCAGAGACCACGGACCTTGAATTAACAAAACATACCGGGTTTTTTTGAATGCAATTTCATTGTACTGGTAAATTCCTTGACATGTTCTACTCATATTGCTGAAAATGGGCATACTTATGTTTTGTCTCAGATCTCAGACATCAGATCAGCCTAGGTGCAATTAAACATTTGTGCTTGATATGCACATGTCTCAAGGTAGTCTGTATTTATAATATATAGGATGTCTAGACTTTGTTATACACTACAGAGAACTGTGCACCTATTGCAGAGAGGATGTCCTTTATTTTCCAAAACATACTTACTTTAAAATCACATTTTTATTTAATTCACATCCTCTAAAACAGTGCAAAATTCCTTAGTTTGGATCCAGAAACAGCATATACTTGTCATTTTGGTACCTCAAGCAGAAACAGGATAAAGAGAATCCAAGAAACTTAGAAAGCTACATTCAAAGTTTTAGTTGCCCTTGATTTTAAAACATGGTTGTTTCCAACACTTCCCTTACTTATCAGATACGGTGGCTTACCATAACAGAATATTAGCTCTTTCCCATTCCTCATACTTTCAGAATGGGAATATTGGGTGAGTTTGTTTTGATATACCTTTGGTTTATTTATAGGGGGGGAAGCAAGGAATTTTTTTACTTAAGCTGCATCACCTGTTTTGTGAAACATGTGAAATGGGACTCTGGTATTAGTCATGCAAGCACACTTTGTTCAAAAAAATGCTACACATATATGTATGCTGAAGATACCAACATGTTCCTTGAAAGCATGTCTCTATCACATACAAGATCAGATTTTGTTCTCATACCAATAATTCTATTCAACTTAGCCCAATGGCAATCTATTGTTTCCAAAAATATAGTAAATTTGCTCTGAAGAGCTGATGATCTTAAGTCAGAATTCAAATAGAAGAGAGCAAGACAAGCCAGAAATATGTACACTTTGGTTATCCATTCTGTGTACTTAAACCATACACACTCTTGCCTATATAAATACAAAAAACGTAGATCAAGGATAGTAACTTATTAGAACAACAAGGTCAGACTCAGGGAGGGCTTGGATACAAAACTGTCTTTGACCTCAGCTCCAAAAGAATTTTTCCATGCTTTAAGTGGCATGAAAGAAATGACAAAGATGCAGTAGCACAGCAGAGATTCAATGACCAAAGGACGCAATGTAAGGCTAAAACCAGTGCTTGAGAAAGGATAAATGAGAAAGTAACCTAATCAGTAACAGTTATAACAATGGTTCCAGGTGTTTCTAAAACTGTGAGAGGACAACACAAATGTTCACAATGCCAAAGAGAATGCAGCTACACTATTACCCTTCATTCAGCTATCAGAAAGGCACTTTTTAAGCATAAATACTACATTGTTCTTGTCACAAAATTTCTTATGAAAAAATAATTATTTCACAGACGTTATTATCAGGAATTTTAAAAGAACTTGAACCACCAGGGTTTTTTGTCTTAAACAAAGGAAGTCAACTGTTCAATAGCTGCATATTAGCCCAACTGATAAGTGTCTGGAAGCAACTCTCTAATGAGAAGGAAACTCAGTGTAAGACAGTAGAAACTATTCCTCCTAGTACACAGAACTACTGATACAGCTAGGGCTCAGGAAAAGTATGACAGAAGTATCAAACATAAAAGAGGGCACCTTAGCACAGGCTCTGTACGCTCAGACAAAAACCAATCTGCCTGGTTACAATCCAGTCACAGGAACACATCTAACCCATCAAACATGTGCAGCATACCAAGTTTTATGTTATTACAGCATTCAAATGTAGAACCTCATTCTTTCCCATAATATTTAGACTTCTGAGTTCAAAAGTGAGTCGACCTAGGTGCTTCGAGGTATTAGGCAAACTAGATAAATGTGTTTCATTAGATATTCACAGAAGTTGAGCTGTGTTAAACCAGGAATTTAAATTAGAGGGATCTATCAAAAAACTCTGTCAAAGGTCCCCTGTGTTATACACAAAGAACAGCAGACCCATATATGTAGTATTACCTTCTCTGAGAAGCTATATAGCCCATTATAAAAATGATAACACTAGCTAAGTTGCCAAAGGACACCTTTAGAATTAGCAGCTAAGTAAGAATAAGAACTCTTTATTTTACATCAATAAAAAGTCTCAATTTACACACAGGTCACTAGAACAGAAGACATAATCAGTACCATTTCATGTCATTTTCTGCAGTCCAGAACAAAAAACACAAACAAAACAGACAGTGTGTGCACATGAGAGACAAAAAAAGGAGAACCAAAGAAAAAGAGAAAAGGCTACGTGCCTTTACTTTTATTGAAAGCATTTAGGTTTTCATCATCTTTGGGACATCTCAGATTCCAAATAACAACATTTACACCACACGATCTCCAGGTGTGCCTCTCCCTCTAGGACACAACTGTTTTCAAAAACTTTTATTCACTGCTTGTAAAGTGACACAGTACAATCAATGAACTGTAGACATTTTTATCACGTTTGCTTTTTGTGGCTTCCAAGGTCCATTGTCATAGGGGCTGTCTGTAACCAGCCATCTGGGCTGAAAACAAAAATAAATGCTAGATATCCTTACCTCCAAGTCCATCTCCAGAATCAACCTCACAGATGCTCTCGCCTTCCATGTTGTCTTTAGGACGCAGCAGAAAGCAAGATCTTCCTCAAGTGATTTGCTCAGGCTCCAGAAGGAAGCTGGATCGACCCACTCTGCAGCCAGCAGGTGATATCTTTTGAACAAAAACATAAACACAAAGCCATTGATCCACTTCTGCTATACAACAGAGAGGTCATTTAATTTCTCCCTTAAGCCCCCCAGCTTCTCAAAACTGTGTCAGTTAGTTCTGCATTCAATATCTCGGATCTTTATATCAATACAGTCTTTTCAGCGGGTATCTGAGGTCCTTTTTACTTGTAAATTCAATTGTCATTCGCAGTATAAACCCTCCACCCCATATAAAAAGGCTGCATCAGCCCAAATTCCAGGATTATATTGAGAGGGAAAGCCTCAGCACAGGCCCATGTTTATTCATATGCCTGAGGATGACAGCAGGCAATATGGAGCAATGTACTTTCCACCTACAGGATTAGCTCTGCTCTGGCATGCAGTGGGTACTGTGAAACCAAACTACATTCAGGTTGCAAACAACTATACAGATTGGAAGCACACAGATCATGTGGGTTTGCTTTCTTAAGACTACTCTTAAGGTCACTTTAAGTTTAGGCAGAGAACACCTCAGTTTAGCAATGGAGCTGATTTTCAGAAGAGTGTAAAGAAGAAAAGTATAAAGATGGCTGTGGAGAAAAAGACAAACCCACCTCTTCATTTATTTAAAAGAATGACAGTAAGGGAGTAAAATCTCTTTTCCCTACTCTGAGCCTGAATAGCTAGCTGTTTTTCTATTCTCCTCCTTCAGTGTAGCTAGTTTTCACGCCTCCTTCTCTTTTTGAATAGAAGAGAAATAACTCTCAATGAATTAAAAAAGAAGTACTAATGAGTCAGGAAACATCCACCCATTAGAGCCTTTGAGAGGCAAAAATAAGACAAAAAGTAATCAAAACAGCATGGAGTTAACTTTGCAGCAAGCAGAGATCTGCCATCCAATGCTCCTGATGTAGACAGCAAAGCAAGGATGAGCTCCATCACTCATCCCCCCTGTGTAACATTTGCAGTCTGATTATTTTTAAAACAAAGGAAAACAGAAACCAAAAGCCATCCAAAAAGAGGCTTGTCTCTGCCACAAATGAACTCAGGCCAAGAACATAAAACATGATGAGGGAATGATGATCAAGTACAGGAACATCTAAAATCCAGTTGAGGTACCATTAGTAACCTAGAGCTATCTGTGGAGCAATGTATTGGCTGTCTCCTTGCCAGTTTCAAATGGGCAAATATTTAATTTTTATTTGCAAATCTGTGGCCTTCTCTTTTGTCCCATACTCCTGTGTTTTACTGAGAATGAAAGAGGGGAAAAAAGTTCAGTTATTAACATGAACTGTCCTGAATGTTCTGTTCAATACCCTTGTTCAACTTCCTATCTAAGAGAAAGCAATAAACATTATAAACAAATCTGTATTCAGAGCTCAAGTAAAAGAGAGTCAATAGTTCAAGTACTATGTCATTTTGGTGATAAAAAGAAGGGCATACCTAGAAGCTCCACACCAGATGACCTCTACTTTCTTCAACTTCTTCAGCCATCTCTCTCAGCATCTGCATGTTTTTGTAGATGTTCTGGTGGTTGAGTGCAGGTGTCTGTCATGTAACAGAGCACACATGGCACTGTAAAACACTGAGCAGGCTTTCCATGGAGTGACAAGTGTAGCATAGCCATCTTACAGTGCTGATGCCTCTTCTTAAACTTGCATCAGCAATTCCAGGTGTTCTTCCACAGGAGCATTCATGTTTTTCAGAAGGTATGCAACTGTGGTTTGCAAAAGACTGAAGACTGAGAAAGGATCTGTGAGAATGCTGATTTTTAGTGATGAAGTATCCATCACAAAAAAAATAATCCATACCTTTTATTTTAAATGTGAAAATACTTACCAAATAAATAACTGGAAAAGAGCAGTTATAGTATCAAGCTCTGGTTGCATAGTCAGACTTGAAATATGTATGTTCCATATGCTGATCTAGGATACTCACAAGAACATTGACATAGTTCTTGTTTATAAAGGCAATGAATATCGGATTCCAATGATCAAAAAAGCTCTACTGTAGATGTCACAGGATTTAGTGTTATTTTAACTGGATGAATGAGTCAGATGAGCAAATAACTGTAATTTGAGAAAGTCAACTTCTTTGTCAACTTAGACACAGGCGTTACAGAACTTAACATGTTCATCCATCTGTAAACAAAAACGTGCGTCCTTATGAAAAGCAGAGCGAGTTTCGTTTTGCCTTATAGCAAGGAACTAAAAGAAATCTGTGTAGTGTAGAAAGTAGTAAATTTTGAGACATTCAATGCGTAAGGACTGATTACTAAAATCAGGTATCAGTACTGTGAAATACTAGCATTTCAGTGCAAGGTTACTGAGACATTAAGTGAAACCAAAGTCTTCATTGCCTAGTTAGAAAATTACTATTCTTATTATTATAGAAAACTGAGATTAAAAGAAGAGAAACAGAAGATGTGGTTTTAAATAATTTATTATTTTACATACATTATTTGTGAAACAAATTAATTGTTCTTTATTACACGCTTGCTGTCCCTTCCCACTTGGCTCCCATACAAATGTTGCTTTTAATAACGTTTCATTCCCAGCTAAGCCTTTTTTTCTGGGGGAAGAGGGGCTGTTGGTGAACACAAACTCCCTACTGTTCTGTTCCCTAGCTATAAAAACTCTTTAATTAAAAACTGAAAGCAAAAGGACGCAGCAGTACTGAAATTTAGAACTGCTCAAATGTAATCACAACAATGGGGTAACCACAGAGTAGTATGCTTAATCCAGAACTTCTACACGCTTGGCTGTGTAAGGTTGTGAGTTTACCCTTTCTGCTAGGGAGTGAAAGACCTGAAATGTTTCAAGTTAGCCTTATCACAAAGGAAAAACTCCGCAGCAGAGAAGCAGTAAAGAATGATACAGGACTACAGCTGTTCTAACACAGATAGGATGCAGTAAGGAGTTTGATGCTTTTTAAATTATAGAGCATTTGAAATCTACAGTACCAGGACTCCTTTGGTCACATAGCTTCATTTTTGGCAGTCTTTGCTTCCTGCTCAACCAAACCCTTTCTCCTGCTACCACCATACAGTAGGCCCCATTTTCCATGATCAAACCAGAGACTAAAGCCACCTGGAACCAAACCATCATTTGGTGCTGGTACTGGTCCTTAATGAAAACGCTATCACAAAGGAAAAAACAAGCAGTTAATATGTTCGCATGAAGTCTTTGTCAGTTATTGGGAAAGTTATTTCTGGTGTGCAGGGAATAGCACGTGGAAGGAGGATTGGGAGGAGTCTCAACAAGACCAGTTGTCCACAGCTTCTGCCTGAATGTAGTGTGCAGAAGCATCCATGTCAGAGTAAGCCAGCAGTGGCAGGAAGATGAAGTCAGGAATACAACTATGTACCAGTTGCAGAATTCATCTTTTTTCCTTCAGTGTGGTGAAAGAAATGTCGCTTCTGTGCGACAGGGGAGCAATAGAGGAGCTCCTCTTATTAGTTGCTTTCTTCAGACCATGCCTGACCATACACACTATATAGCAGGCTGCACAGAAGCTGCATATGCCATCCCTGTAGATGCCATGCAATTCCATAAACTGGAAGAACCCCCAGCCACACATACATTGGTGATCTCCAAGCTTTTTAACCAGGCTGAGCCCAAGAAAGCCAAATTAAATGTAAATGGCTGTAGTCCCTTGATCTTTCTGAAATGAGCTCTAGCTGCAGATACTAGATTTTGCAGAATGAATCCCCAGTAAAGTAATGGAATGCTACCACTGCAGTATATGCACATTTTGATGGCAACATTGGAAAAAGCACAAATGGTGTCACAAAAATCAAAGTACAATAAGAATATTTATATTTTCAGGGAACTTTACAGGTTTAATTTTCCAGCTGAAGTCAGAAAGATCATAACTTGCTAGATTTCACTTCCAGTGCTCAGATGACAAACATGCCATAACTAAAATGCAAAGGGAAGACCAGAGTCACTGCCGTAGCACACTTCTCTAATAACTCAAAGACCCCAGCAGTCCCAAATACATGCTGTGGGTATACATTTTCAAACCAGTTTCAACAGATTCCAACTTAAGCCCAAACTTCAAGCCTGCAGCTAGACAGAGCTTCCCCAGATGTACACTGTTAACTCCTACCCATAAATCTCAGAGGCTATTTTCAGGTAGTTTATACAAGAGACCATTCATCTCCCTTCACCTCCCTCCATTCTTTTCTCTCTTTGGAGCCCACTGCAGAGGGCACAAATAGTGACAGTGCTTCCCTCCCCTTGTTCACCAGCCTTTTCTGTTATGTTTGTTGGAAACACCATTTTTTAATGTTTTGCAGTGGTTATCACTGGAGAATGGTTCCATGTGAAGAATATCCTGGGCATGAGAAGTAGGTGACTGCAGAGACTGACTGTGCAGCTTTTAGGAAAACATCTGATGTCAAGGAGGGTCCAAAAGTAGAATAATACCAGATTTGTAGCACTATTATTTTCTTATACAAACCTCACCCCAGAAGCAGAATTCTTCTATCTACCCCTACCAAAGCAGGGGTAGAATCTGAAAATCTGTATTACTACATCAATAGAGAGGAAGCTGATGCCAGATCTACTTCTGAAAAGGTTCTTTCCCTCCAAGTTTACCATCAGTTGGATCTATAATGAATTATCTGTGATATATCTGTACTAGTCCTGTGCCTCTGCAGGCAGCCAACTTCGCACAAGGAGTCCTGCTCAACTAGTTATTTCTGCTTTCCCTCAATTTCTCTCATTTGTCATAGGGATTTATTCAGAGTTAATGAATCAGACCAAGATTCTTCATACATATTTAAGTGCTTTTCAAAAAGGAAATCTACATTTTGGCAATGGGCAGAAATCTTGTATTCAGTCAGGCATAACCATGCTTGAGTTAGTCCTGCAGTAATACCCTAACAAGAAGCCTTCCCGACTACCAGACTTAATAATCACAATTCCTTCCTAACAAGGCTTTCAGTGAAACTGTTTCATTATTCAGAGAAAGTCAGAGTTGAATACATTCACCTCATTTTACCACGCAGCTGCATTTTTTTGAGATATCTCCATATGGAGATCTCAAGGAAGTCAAAAGGAATTATGGATATGGGCATTTTAAACACTGACAAAAATCTCAGTTTTCAGTAACTAAATAAGCTCCAACTCAAGATTTTGCAAAAATAAGATCAAGTGCTAACAATATGTCTTGCTGGGAACAGCCACGAAGGGAGATCTGTGTATTCTAATCCTGCAAAATACAGTTCAGGAAGGATATAAGAAGCAGTACCAATAGACGAATTTCACAACTTCGTTAGTCCAAAACATCATCTGAACTGGAAAGAGGAGTGATTTCTAAGTCTGAGGTACTTACTTCTGGATGGTTTGGGGTTTTTTTCCTTAACAAAGTTTATATTTTCAAATATAAATTTCAAATATAAATTTCAAAATACCTGTTTTACCTGCCAAACTTTCACCACTCTCATCACAGACAGCACTTCACTTTCCAATTGCTTTTCTTTACATTGTGAATTGTGACTACTGTAAAGAAAGTTATTTCATGCGTTAGTGTGCAGCAGGGTTGGCAATTCAGCCTCTATTTTAATGTAATAGAGTACCACAAAACATTTGACACGCTGGTCCCTTCCTTATGGACCAGTACTATAAGGTACAGTGTGAACGATGCACTGTAAACCAGGAAAACCCATCAAGCAAACACAGTGCTCTTTGTTATCTTAGAAAAACAGTTTTTCCATTTGGTTCCTCTGCTGACGGCATTAACACTAACTCTGTCAGGTGCAGAACAATAGAATCCAAGCTAATATTTGTAAAGCCACCTGATGACGTTGACAACAATCTGAAAACATGCACTACATATCATGGTTTCTGCTCTAGGCATACTAATTCAGTACTACTGAATACTAACAGAGGGCAGGGTATTATACCAGAAGTATTTTCTGTGAAGATGTGTCTAAGAAGCCAATCTCCGCAACTTACAGTTTATTATCTAGCTAGTAGGAATCAGCAAAGATTAATCAGTTATACATCTTTGACATTTACACAAATTGATTGCTGCACAGTGTGGTTCTACTGTCATTAACATAAAGCACACCTTAAAAAACAAACCGCCAAACCAAAGCCCCAGAACCCACAAAGAACACCTTAAAAACACCCCCTTAATGTACCTCCTTGATTTTAGTGAATTTTCGGTTAGCTGTCTAAATATCCCTTTATTTTAATCAGATGTTGTGTAGACTTAAAGCTAACCAAATAGCAGAATTTTTCCTGTTTCTAGTAGGACTATTTCCAAAGGAGAGAAACTACATTCCATTTTGAAACCCACATCTTACTGTAATCAGCAGTGACTCTAGGAGCATATAGTAAAAACAAAAGACTGATGAACATACTGATCAAAACTGCCAAAAAATGTACAGAAAATTTGATTTAAAAAAAATAAGGGAAACAAAGTAATAACAAAAAAACCCAAGCAGGTGAAATAAAAAAACCCTTTAGTACTAGCATGGTTTTACTGAGAAGCTTGCAGTGTAAAAACAATTTGCTTTCCTTAGGTCTTAGCTGAAGGTCTAAATTAAGCATGTAATACATACTTACAGTACTTTCTTATTTGCTGTAACATTAATTTTCAAGACAATGTCAAAAAGCTGAATTGATGCCCAGCTACAGTTTTTATAACCAACCACAAGGAATTTAGTTTGTATGCTAGAGCAACTGTGGAAATCAATTCTTAATTTATGACCTTGCTTACCACAGCTTGAAGTCTTGCAATAAATAAATGCCTTGAGTCACATATAAAAAACATTTGGTGAATCAGAGACAAATAACACAAATCTATATGTGTATATACAGCATTAGAAAGGTCATATAAAATACAGTATTGGCTCTTTTCTTGCTCTAACATAATAATGTTTGAAACGCAGGACACAGTAATTGGCTGCATCGATACCTAGGTGGTGAACAGCTATGAGTGCCTATTTTCCTTTCAGATTACAATGTTCATCCTTTTAGAGGAATTCTTGTTGCCTGCCTGGGGTTTTTTAGTAAGGACAATGCTACAGTGCTTAAAAATACAGAACCTGTGAAAAAAAATAGCTGTTTTCTTTGTCCTAGGATATGCGAAGTCTTTCTCTAAA